TCATGCGGGATATCACAGTCAAGGACCGATATACACATTAACAATCTGCAAGTTTTTACATTGTGTTCACCAACGAACAGAGGATAGTTTTTAAGTTTTTATTTTATCGTTATGCCTTCATTAGCATGCTTCATTGTCATGCTGAATAGACATTTCCCCACCAAAATTTTTTTTCTGTCGCATGTCCATACGGTGCTTGAAACCGTAACGGTTTTACTTGTCATACCCTATACCAGTTTCTTGTTTCACTGTGGGCATCAATCATCGCAGTGCCATAGTGGTGAATATTTTTCTGAAAATGTCTTATTTACTGTCATTTTTGTTTACTTGACCTATTTATTATGTCATAGATTCGGTTCTTTGCGCTTTTACCTATTCTTTCATTTTCCTAGTCGTTTGTGTGAACTATGAGCAAAGAGTGTTTTGTGGTTCCTCGAGATTTACCAAATTTGTAGATCAATCCTGTATTTAAACTTCGACTTTGGCACCCAAAAAACGAGTAGCATTGGGCAGATTATTAAAATGAGATCGCTTTCGCTTTAAAGATGAAGTTCAAATGGCCTGAAAGATAGCCATTGCATAAGTCCCTAAGAGAAATGAATCCTAGAGAAGAAAATAGAAAATAATGCAAAATGATAATGGCAATGTCCCGCTTCCTGAAAATATTATAAAATCACGGTTTATTCATACACGACGCAAGGAAATCAGCCAATCGGATGATTAACTTTTTATCATTTAACCAGCAGAGACTTTTCGGCTAGTGTCTCGCGGGCTTTCTTCAAGGTTGTCAGGGTTGATTTCCGAACTTCGTTCGCAGTCTGCAGCGGTTATAGTGTTTGGGGCCAAAAGGTGTGGTTTTGGCCTATGTGGCTGGCTGTTTATGGTAACAGGCTTGAAAAACTTGTCCAATCATGGCAAAGTTCGAATCCTTTGCCCCGGTTGACATCTTTGCAGGATTGGATAATTAACGCGTCTTTGATTCGTCTGTTCAGTCAGTTTCTTTCGTTAATAATGCCCTCCCCCGCAATCTGACCGTTGGTAAACGCTGCTAGAAAAAACATGAATTTTTCACGAATTGGAAAAGCCTGGTGAAACCTGTTGCAGTAAAACTACTTAGCCAGCTGCATGGACCAAAACTACACATTTTGGCCCCAAACATTACAACCGCTGCAGACTACAAAACGAAGTTCGGAAATCAGC